CTCCCAGCCCATGGCAACCATCATTATATTTCTGTTTCTATAAATTTGACTATTCTAGGTGCCTCATACAAATGGAATCATACAATATTTGTCTTTTTTGTGACTGGCTTCTTTCATTTAGCATAATCTGCTCATGATCCATTGAAGTGTATAGTATGAATCAGAATTTTCTTTCTTTTTTAAGGCTGAATAATACGCCACTTGTATAGACCTGCCACGTTTTGTTTCTCCGTTTACCTGTTGATGGACATTTGGCTGTTGTGAATAATGCTGCTGTGAACATGAGTGTCACTTTTGAGGGAGAATTAAGACCCCTTGTGGGGTGGTTATCACAGAGAGGCAAAGCCTGGCTGGACAATCACAGGAAGAACTTTCCAGTGATTAGCTCACAAGTTGCTGGGGGGGGGGGGGGGTCACGGTGAGCTCCCTGTCACAGGCCATTTTGTTGGCAGCAGGTGTGTGCCATTTAGATAAGGTGACCAGACGTCCCGCTTTTGGCGGGACAGTCCCGATCTCTAACAATTTGTCCTGCGTCCCTTGGTGTTTTAAAAAAGTCACGATTTTTGGAAAGAATCGGGACTTTTTCAAAACACCGCAAAACGCGGGACAAATTATTAAAAATTGGGACGTCTGGTCACCTTACATTTAGGAGAAGATGGTTCATCGAGTGACTCCCAAGGCCCTGCCCATCCTAGAGAGAAGCTGAGGGCTGCCCACCATCAGCTAACAGAGCTAGTTCCACACGGGTTGCCAGCTCAGCGGAGGGCACCAATTCGTTTTGTTCCCTGTCTCCTGGGAATGCTTCTCTGTGGGCAGACACCCGGAGGGAACAATCTTGTCCTGCCATCTGCTTCCTGGCATAGAACTTGTCCGTGAGTGAAGATTAGACTTCCCCGTCTAAAGAGGGGCCATGTGTTGCCTTTTGTGAGGCAGGGCTTGCCGGTCAGTGAGGGATAATGGGGGGGAGGCGGGTGATGGGCAAGAAGCCCAGTGCCCAGGGATTCCTCCCTCTTCTTGGCAGCTTCCCTGCATCCCGCTTCCTCCCCTGAAGCTCCATCGACACTATTGTGTGTGCCGGCGGCGTCAGAGCCTCTGTGAAGTGTAACACGTGCCCCCCAATGTCAGAGGAGTGCCCCTCCCCTGGGCCTGGGCCAGGCAGCAAAGGAGGCAGGGCGGGTGGGGAGGGGACAGAAGCCCCTGGCTGTCCCCAGGTGCCTCCTTCCCCGGGTCTGATGTGTTTTCCCGAAGACCCCGGGCTCCTCGCGGCGTCTGCACATCACGCTGTGGTAAATGGCGTGGAGCTCTGAATGCACCGCAGGAGTACCCCTCCGAGGAACCCCGTGGCGAAGTGCCTTGTAAAGTGGAAAACCCTTTTGTAAGGTGGATAATTGTCCTCTGTCCCTCGCCTGTAGAGATTCAGAGTGTTCGGAGATGCTCAGGAGAGAGGGGTTTGTGTGAAGGCCATCTGGTCCACCTCTCCCCGACGCCCGGGGCTAGAGCATCCCCTTCCAGTGAGGGGGAGCCCCATGTGAACCCCTCAGGATGGGAAACTCACCATCCCCTGAGATGGGTCAATCCATCTTTGGGCACCTCTGCTTATTGGAAATGGAAACTTTGCCGAAACCAATTTGACTCAGTGGATAGAGTGTCATGTACATTGGTTGCGGGCACATCCCTGGTAGGGGGTGTGCAGGAGGCAGCTGGTCGATGTTTCTCTCTCAACGACATTTCTACCTCTCTATCCCTCTCCCTTCCTCTCTGCGGAAAATCAATAAAATATATATATTTTTTTATTATTTGTGAAATTTTTTTTACTTTTAATTAAATTATTATCTGTGTACATATTTTAACATTGTCCCCCCCTCCCATACATACCCTCCCTCCCCAGAGTTCTGTGTCCATTGGTTGTACTTATATGCATGTATACAAGTCCTTCGGTTGATCTCTTATCTCCCCCAGATCTCCCTACCCTCCCCACTGTAATTTGACATTCTGCTTGTCGCTTTACTGTCTCTATATCTATCTTTTGGTTCATCCGTTTATAATGTTCTTTATTATCCATAAATGAGTGAGGTCATGTGGTATTTCTCTTTCATTGACTGGCTTATTTCACTCAGCCTGATGTTCTCCAATTCTAGCTATTGTAGATTGTGCTGCTATGAACACAGGGGTGCATATATCCTTTCTGATTGATGTTTCTAGTTTCTTGGGATATAATCCTAGGAGTGGGATTACTGGGTCAAATGGGAGTTCCATCTTCATTTTTTTGAGGAAACTCCACACTGTTCTCCACAGTGGCTGCACCAGTCTGCATTCCCACCAGCAGTGCATGAGGGTTCCTTTTTCTCTGCAACCTCGCCAACACTTGCCGTTTGTTGATTTGTTGATGTTGGCCATTCTGACAGGTACTGTGTGAGATGGTACCGCATTGTCGTTTTGATTTGCATCTCTCAAAATATTTTTTTTAAAGAAAAAAAGAGCCAAAGCCGGTTTGGCTCAGTGGTAGAGCGTCGGTCTGCAGACTGAAGGGTCCCAAGTTCGATTCCGGTCAGGGGCATGTACGTTGGTTGCGGGCACATTCTACCTCTCTATCCCTCTCCCTTCCTCTCTGCGGAAAATCAATAAAATATGTTTTTTAAAAAATGGAAACTTAAAAAAAAAAATCTTCCTGTGAATCAATCAGACGGTCACTGCCTACCTTCACTCCAGCTAGAAGTCTTCTTGACTGCCCGTCTTCAGAAACGGAGGGCCTAGTCTGCTCTGAGCACTAACCTCTGCTTTGCTCTGCCTCCATAGAGATGCCCCTCGTTACCTGCCCGATAGCTGGCACTGTGGGCCTGCCTTTGGGAGCCCACCCGCATCTCTGCCTGCTGGAATGGGAACAGTGGTTTAATGGAACTACCTCCCCTAGACTGAGACTGGTTTAATGAGCTACAGAACAGTCTGCCCTGGGGCAGGAGGAGAGCGAAGGGACCACTCCGTCTCTCATTCCGTCCTCAGAGCACAGCAGAAGAGTGGTCTGATCTGGAACTAATGGAACTCTCTCCTCTTTCTCAACTTCCGGAATGTGGAACTTTCAGGGAAGTCTCAGAGGAGCGATCTAGGAGTGTTCAGAATGAGTCACCCCAAGATGGGCCCCTGAGGTATGCAGAGTACTTTGAGCTAAAGGCTGAAGAGAAACCTATGTTCCTCCCTTAACTGCCTAAAAGAACTTGAATTAGGGGCCTTGCCCATAATAAGAGATCACCAGAGATAACCTCTTTTGATCTATCTATAGGGCAGGACAAACATCTGTTTATCACCTGCCATGACTCTTTGAAGCCCCCAAGCCACCTGACCTCATCCTGGCTCAAGACATCTTACACACCCATGTTCCTTTTCTATCTCTGAACCTCTCGTGCATGTGGGTTCTCTGACTCTCATGTATGCTGGGTTCCCGTACATATGTATCAAATTTGGTTATTTTCTCTTGGAAAAAAAAAAAAAAACTCTCCGAAGTTTTCATCCACTGAGTCTTCTGCTTGCAGGTTACACTGAGTGTGCGCCTTCCTTGTGTTAACTCACTTGACAACAGTGACCTCAACCCCTGCGTCTTCTATTCAGTCACCCCTCCTATGCAGGATTTTGAGTTCTCTAATCATCTTGATGGTTCTGCTTGGACTCTGCTTGGGTCACTGTCCTGCATCCCTTTTCAATCCTGGACCTGTTTGTTGTAGGGAGAAGGAGCAGCCACTAGTTTACGACCAGGGGGTCAGACCAAACCTGGGCTCAGCAACCTCAGTACTTGGGCTCTGGCTAGGGAAGAATTCAGAGCCAAGACCCAAACTGTAAGAGAACACGTACTGGGTAAGTTACAGAGGTAGAAAACGTAATTCCTTGAAGCAGTGGGCTTAAGAAATGAGATATGGAGGTTAAGAAAGGGCCCTTGGAGCTTGGCAGTGAGGAGGCTAATGGTTCCGTACCTGTGTCTGAGGACGGAAGCGGGAGAGGAAAGGGAAAGGCACCTGCATGTTCCTTGGAGGGAGATGCAGGGTTTAAGGGCGGAGATGTTAGGGGAGATTCCAGGGAAATATCTCACTAGAACATTCCGCAGTTTTCCAGAGGTGACCTTTAGAGTTATGGTCTCTGCTTGATCGGCTGGCACCAGGACAGGGGTCGTTATTCAGTGCAGCCGTCGTTCAGTCAGCCATCGCTGGTTTTGTTGCTTGTCTGGGCCTGGAGTTGAAATACAACTGAGGCCTACCTGTTATCTCTAGGGAGGAAAGGTCAGGGGGTCCAAACCTCATGACCATGGATGTGCCAGGTGAGGAAAAGTCATCCTGGGGGCAAGATCCCATCCTACAACTGATTGTCCATTGCTGGGCACCTGGGACTTGCCATTCTGGTGACCTTCTGTACCTGGCCCATCACCCGTTATCCGTCCTCGCTCAGTTCTTGTCTGCCTAACTGCCTGCCACAGACCCAGCAATTGATGCAACTCTCAGGTGGCGTCTGTGTGCCTGGAGGAGACAGGGACTCTCATTTCCCTCTAGATTCTCTAGCCCTGCTGGTGCGGCTCCAGAGCTTTCCGACAGTAATAAGCTTAACCATTGTCTAAAATCTTAAAGCTACGCCGGTGTCTTAAAATCTTAAGTCACAACCCCTCACTCAGAACTTAATGGAGATGACTTATTTATTTATTTCTCTTTAAATATATTGTTATTGATTTCAGGGAATAAGGGAGAGGGAGAGAGGGATAGAAACATCAATGAAGAGAGAGAATCGTTGATTGGCTGCCTCCTTCGTGCCCCCAGTTGGGGATGGAATTGGAAACCTGGGCATGTGTCCTGACTGGGAATCGAACCGTGACTGCCTGGTTCATAGGTCTATGCTCAGCCACTGAGCCACACTGGCTAAGGGAAGATTACTGTTTTTTTAAGTGTCAGGTTTTCTTAAACGAGATGCTTCTGCAGAGAAGTGGTCCAGTCTGGAACTAATGGAATGCTCTCCTCTTTTCCTAGAACTGGTCAGGCATGAAGTGCCAATTCAAGCTGCTGCGGATGGGTGTGGCCTTGATCTGTAGTAAGTACTGACCATCCCGCTGGAGGGAGGGAGCCCTGCCCTGGGCCTGGGGATATAAAGACAGCACAGTCCCTGCCCTTCAGGGGCTTATGGTCAAGAAGAAGAGGGAGGAGCTGTCGGTAATGTGCAACAACGAGGAGTGTTATGAGAGAAGTCTGGGCCACTCTGATATTTCTTAACCTTAAACTTTTTATTGACATGTGATATGCAAACAGGAAAGTGCACACAGAGTGAGCGTCCAGCTCAATGACCGGCATCCAGATCAAGGAAAATAACTTCTTAATAACCTTTTGGGTCACGGAGTCGATCCTTTGAGATCTCCTGTTGGAAGCTAGAGACCCCATCCCTGGAAAAACATACATATGTGTGTGTACATGTGCACTGAAACTAGTAATTTTAGCAGGTTTACAAACTGTAACCCATGAACCCCTTAGGAGCAGGCTGTGGGCCCTAGTCCATTCTACCTGCAAGGGTCATGTTGACCAGGACAGGCAGGAGGCCACCGCGTAGCCAGGGTGCAAGAGGGCATTGCGGGTGCAGGGAGTAGGAAGAATAACCTGAACCAAGACACAGGTGGGTGAAGGATCATGGCCTGCAAGTCTGTTGCAAATTCGACCTATGAGGTTTGAGACTGTGTGATTGTGATAAGAGATAATAGTCAGCTCATGAACGGCTTTAAATGCAAAGATTCTCTCTCATCGATGTTTCTAACTCTCTATCCCTCTCTCTTCCTCTCTGTAAAAAGTCAATAAAATATTTTTAATAAATAAATAAATGCAAAGAGGAAAATGGGACTTCGTCTGCAAACACTAGGAAGTCCTTGGAAGGTTTTAAACAAGAGTTACCGGCAAAGCCAGCCAATAAGTCTGCTTACCTGAATGTGTTCGGAAATTTAGAGAAAGCTGGCAATAGTAAACCCATGTTATGAGCCTTAAAGACATTGAAGACATTAAGGCCCCTGAAAATGACCATAAGAAGTTTTAATAACCAATTTTCATAAGACACAAGCTAATTTTAAAGCTTTACTAAAACTAGTATTGATGGCTTGCTGGAATTTCTAAGTGTTATTAAAATGAAAATCCCATATGACGTTTTTATAAAAAAGAAAAGAAAAAAAAAAAGAGTTACTGACAGATTCGGGTTTAGGAGACCAGTCAGGCTGCATTGTGGAGGAGTTGAGTGTCAGAGAGATGGGACCAGAGGCCAGGAGGCTCATTCTGAGAAAGAAAGAGAATAGTCTGAACAGAAGTGAAGGGGGTAGGAAGAAAGCAACAGGAACACAGTCTCTCATTCAGTTCTCAGACCACCGCTGTGAAGAGGATATTTTTAGGTTTAATTTTCAGGGGTGCACCGAGGCTCAGAGTTCCTCGCCCTGGGCCACCCAGCTAGAGATGGTAGAGCCGAAGTCAGAGCCAGCCTGCGCCTTTTCTAATGCCCACGCTTTAGCCAGGCTGGGCAGGAGCACCGGGACGGTCTCTGCCTGGGTCAGCCACCCACCTGGTGGGGAAGAGGAAGGCCGGGCCAGAAAAATCATGGCACGGAGGGGCCTGTGTGGGCTCCACTTGATTCATGTCTTTCAGGACTCTCTGGTCTCAGTTGCCAGTTGGAGGAACTCCACTTCCAAAGGAACTTCCAGCCCCAAAGCGCAGACTCTGAGCCAGGGCAGTAGGGGAAGAGGAGTGGGTAGGGCAGGGGTGAGCACAGCTTCCCTGTCTGCTCAGTCTCAGCTTGTCTGTGTGCAAGGAAGGGAAGAGAAGTATGACTCTTGCTATTTAGAAAATAACAGCCCTAGCTGGTTTGACTCAGTGGATAGAGTGTCAGCCTGCAGACTAAAGGGTCTCAGGTTCGATTCCTATCAAGGGCACATGCCTGGGTTGAGGGCTTGATCCCATTGTGGGGCATGCAGGAGGCAGCTGATTGATGATTCACATTTCTATCTCTTTCTCCCTCTTTGAAATCAATAAAAAACATTTTTTAAATAAAATTTAAAAAAAATTCTAAAGATCATCAAAACTAAAATGCTATTTTGGAGTCGGGGTCTACGTCTTTCAAACCTCCCCTGTGGAACCCAGGGCCTGCTAAGCAAAGGCAGGAAGATGCCCCAGGGCCTGGGGAGGAGTGGAGAGGACACAGTGTCTGTCCCTGGCTGCACCTTTTCCACCATCTGTCGGCCATCCTTGGAGTTGCAGGCTCATGCTTGAAGGTGAGGCAATCCCCAGGAGGTGCTGGCACCCCTGAGTGGCTAGAGTGGAGAGAGGCTCACTGGTGCATTAAATGGTACCCGTACAAGGATACAATTCCCCTCACATAGTTTTCTTTCAATCTGTCAATTTCGCCTTGGTTTCCTCATCTGTAAAATGGGGTAAGCGTACTTGCCCTAAGTGTCTTTGAATGGTGGGTTAACAAAATGGCAATTTCCCAGCAACTATTACTTCAAGAGAGTACCCTCCCATTGAATTGACCAACCCAAATTCATGCAAGAAGGATGGATTGGAGAGTGAGGGAGGGCATTTCAGAATCTGTTAGAAATCCCAGCACCTTGCAGGGGCCATTTATTTCCATTCCTTCTTTGCCCTTCTCCCCCTTCATCTCTTCCTTCCAAGCACAGAAGCACTGGTTCTGAGGGTTTCCTGAGGGTTTTGAAACGATACATGCAAACACTTTATAAACTGGAAAGTGCTAGCACCTGTTGCTTGTTATTAATGTCCCGGCAGAGTAGCCTGGTACACGGAGGCTGAGATTTTGTACCAACGTGGAGGCTGAGCCTCTGGGACATGTGACAGCAGGGATTGAGGGCTTCAGCATCGGCTGTTCCTTCTGCCAGGAATGCTCTTCGATCAATAGTCACATCTCAGCTCAAATGCCACCTCTCTTAAAAATCTATTTTTTATTTTATTTATTTTTTTAGAGTGGAAAGGAGAGAGAGAGAAAAAAAAAAAAACACTGATGTGAGAGAGACACATTGATTGGTTGCCTCCCCCTAATCAGGGCTGGGAGTCTGCAACCGAGGTACATGCCCTTGACCCTTCAGTCTGCAAGCCAATGCTCTATCCACTGAGCTAAACCAGCTAGGGCAAAAGAATATTTTTAAATTGATTTCAGAGAGGGAGAGAGAGATAGAAACATTAATTATGAGAGAGAATAAAATGATCTGCTGCCTCCTGCATGCCCCACGCAGGATCAAGTCCACAATCCGTGCGTGTGCCCTGCCCAGGAATTGAATCATGAATTCCTGGTTCATAGGTCGACGCTCAACCACTGAGCCAGTCTGGCCAACCAAGACCTCTTTAGGGAGATCTTGACTGATTCTCCAAACTAAAGAATCCCCCTCCTAATACCTAGCTTTATTTTATTTAAATATTTTATTTATTTCAGAGAGGAAGGGAAAAGGATAGAGAGATAGAAACATCAATGATGAGAGAGAATCATTGATTGGCTGCCTCCTGCCCGCCCCCTACTGGGGGCGGAAGGGTGTCGAGCCCACAATCCAGGCATGTGTCCTTCGCTGGCATCGAACCTGAGACCTTTTATTCCACTGACCAACGCTCTTATCCACTGAGCCAAACCAGCGAGGGCCCAGCGTTGGCTTTGAGTCACTTATATTTGTTTCCCATAGAGTTCCTCTTACTGAACTGACCTCGTGTATATAATGCTGGCGGGTTGCCAGGTCCTATAAGCCCTGGGAGAACAGAGACGTGTCTGTCTGCTTCACTACTGTGTCCCCAGCACACAGAACAAACAGAGCTTGATCTGTGGCGCGTGGGGTAACGGGTAGATGGCAGAGTGGGTGGGTGGCTTCCAAGGCCTCTCGCTCAGCCCCTGCCCGGGGCCTGCCGTGACTTCTCTGTGCTTCCTCCCCTCACAGTGAGCATGGAATTCGGGCGGGCCGTGTGGCTCCGGTTCCACCCATCGGCCTATCCCCCGTGCCCGCACCCGAGCTTCGTGGCACACTTGGGTGGCGTGGCCGTGGGCATCACCCTGGGCGTGGTGGTCCTGAGGAACTACGAGCAGAGGCTGCAGGACCAGTCGCTGTGGTGGATTTTTGTGGCCATGTACACCATCTTCGTGCTGTTCGCTGTCTTCTGGAATATCTTTGCCTACACCCTGCTGGACCTGAAGCTGCCCCCGCCCCCCTAAGGGCTGGAGGACGGAGGTCGGGGAGGGGAGAGAGACACGGCATCGGAAAGGAGCACCTGGATTCTGTTTCCTCATCACCAGCTCAGGGAGGCCGGGAGGAGAGGACGAGAGATGCTGGGCGGACGGTGGAGGCTCTGTTCCGAAAGGCGCCTGCTGGAGGAGTTGGATTGGCTGCTGCTGTTTTTCTAGACTCTTCCAAAGACATCGGGCCAGCAGAGGCCTGGCGTGGGCTGAGAGGGGCTGAGAGCAGCCTCATCCTCCACCCTGAAAGACCATGGAGCAGGGGTGGGGAACCTCCTTACTGCCAACGGCCATTTGGGTATTTATAACATCATTCACTGGCCACACAAAATCATCAACGTAAGCATCAGCCTGCTGTGTTTGGTCAAACATTTGACTCATCCGTAATGCCTTGGCAGGGCCAGACCAAATGTTTTCCCAAGCCTTATGTGGCCCTCGGGCCGGACATTCCCCACTCACGCCATAGAGTGTAAGGAAGGCCTGAGGGGCAGTGGCCAGGCAGGCCCTTGTCCAGCCCAGAGGTAATGGCGGGCCAAGAAGTGTTCCCTCTGGAGCTCTGGGAGGGAAAGGGGGCCTGGTGTAGGACGTGTGGACGAGGCCAGGAAGCCCTGGGGCCTTCCTATACCTATAGGTGGGCACTGGGGTGTGGCTTCTAACTCCTGGGGAAGGCAGAGAAGGGAGATCCTATAACTCCCTACCCTTGCCATGGGGGTACCCAGCAAGAGGAACCCCAGCAAGAGGGAATTCATCCCTTGTTCCCCCTTGGGACTTCTCCCTCCCTCCCCGCATGCTGGCCTCTCACACCAGGGCCCACATCCCATCCCATGCTCTGCCTTGTCTCTGGAGCCCTGCCCTTCCATTGTCCTGAGCCCACATCGGGCCTCTCCTTTGGTTGTGGAGACTGTTCTGATGGTGAACACGTGGTGTGGTGGGTGGAGGTGCCCGTGTGATGGGAAAAACAATGGGGCGAGTAGGAGTCCCCAGAGGAAGGCTGTGAGGGGCAGTGGTCGCCTGTGGATGCGTCTGCATGAGAGGAAGGAAGGGGCTGAAGGTAGGGTGTTGTGGTTCCTGAGGATCCTGGCGTTTAGCAAAGCCTGACTCTTCTTTTCCACTCCCTGGCCCTTCCAGGCGTCTCCCTGGGGATCACTGAGGGTGGGGGAGGGGTCTGTGGTGGGAGGGCGGCCCCTCGGGATGCTGAGGTTTCCTCGCCTTTGCCAGCTCCTGCTTGGGCTCCCTCTGGAGTGGCCTTCATACTGAGAAGATTCTGTCCTGTCTCCCTGTGGAGGGAGGAGCTTGGGGTGCAACAGAGGCTGGCAGGAATATGGAGGCCACGTGACTTGAGTTCAGGGGGACGGGAGGTTGCAGCAAAAGGAATTCCAGTTTAGGTGGAGACCTAGAGAGGAATTGTTGGGGGCCTGGATGTGCGTCAGAGGTGAGGCAGCTGTAGTTCGGGTTCTCAGAGCGAGGAGGGAGCTGGGAGGTGTTCACGTCCATCCCCACACCCATTTCACAAGGGAATGGCCTCCCGGCCGCAGGAGCTGGTGCAGGCCCCAGGGAAGGTGGGAGGAGGGCTTTTGACAAAATGTCCTCTCTTTATACTGCTCTTGCGACTCCCAACCACTAACAGCCTCGCAGGAGGAAGAAGCCAGGCTTGGGTTCCTGCAGGAACAAAGGCAGGAGCGTAGGGACTGCCTCTGCCAGCCATTGGCCCGTGAGAGCCACCCCGAGGCTCTAAGTCAGCCGGGCCGGACATTTGGGCATCTTGGGCCACAGTGGCTTCCATCCCATCGTCACACACAAATGGGCACGGTCTCTCCACCCAGGTCACCCACACCCAGCCCGTCCCCGCCTTTGCCCACTGCTAACTAGGCTGTCCGCATGGCACAGAAGCTCAGGCTGCACTTGCGCCAACTCTGCTGAGGACGGCCCGCCCAGGTGGCTGGGCTGCGTTGCCCTGAGGGACCTTGTCTGTGCCCTGCCAGCCCCTCTGCCTCCGGAGGGAAAGGTGTAGCTGGAAGGGTCGGCTCTTGGGGAGAGGAGACGGAGCTGGAGCCGGGGATGAGGAGATGGGTGAGGATGGCAGAGGGGGCTATGGCTACTGCTAACCGTGCGTGCGTGCGTGCGTGGGGCTGACCCTCCTGGAGCGGCAGAGGCAGCTGTCACCTGCTGGGGAGCAGGGCTCTCTGCCAGGCCCACTCCTGGCCCTGGAGGTTCTGGGTTGTAGTTTGAGGGAGCAGAGAGCTCCCCCTCCCCCTGCCTTTGTCTGGTGTGGCTTGGAGAGGGGCCTTCCTCTCGCAGGGGTGACAAGACCGTGAACTAGAAGATTCTACAAAGCCCTCCAGGGGCATCCAGTTTCCTGGGGCTTAGGATGGAAGCTGTTTGGGAGGACTGCCCGCGGTGGGAGTCCCACCCACGTCCTCTGAGGCCTGGAGCAGCTCAGATTGCCCCATCCTCACCCTCCATCCTCACCCCCCACCCATCCCCTCTCCCCACCCCTGGGTCCTCACCGTAGGCCCCAGCCCAGCCAGTGTCAGCTGCTCCCTGTCCACTGAGTGTCAAAGAGCAAGTTCTCTGGTCTGCTAAACAGCCGTCTCCACCAGCCTCTCCCAACCATCCCTTCTCCGCAGGGCCATCCAGTGGTGACTGTCACTTCCCCGCTACCCAGGTCTCTAACCCAGGGGCAGAGCCCGTTTTTGAGTAAGAAAGGTTCCATTTTGGGGCAGGGCTTTCTCCTCAGCAGGTCCCTTTGTTCCCCGGCTCCCAGCACCCTGCCAGCAGCATGTTTCCCTCCTTCCTCCTCCACCGTTGGCCTCCAGGCCAGTGCGGCCGACACATGAGGGTGGTGTGGATCTCCTGGCCGGAGCGAAGCCGGGTTTGCACCTGCATGAGACAGAAATTGAAACCTGAGGACTCTCAACAGCAGCCACAGACCCACTCAGTCCTTAAACGGAATAGGAATCACAGAAGCTGGGGGAAAGGAAAACAAACCTTCAAAGGAGAAATTTCGCTTTAATGACACCATTAGTCATTCGTTTTTTAATTAGGAAAAGCTCCCTAATGAGGCGTAATAGGACTCTCCATTTCCATGAGAACTGCTCCTGCCTGGGGGATTAGGAGAGTCATTGCTCACCAGGCCCAGCCTTTCCCCTGCGTCCAATTTCATTTGCAAATAATGCAGGCTCCCCAGGTGGCCGGAAGCCCCTTCCTGGCACCGTGCTCCCAGGGCTGGCTGGAAAGCACGGATACTCACTCCTCTGCCTTAAAAAACTGCCCAACGCTCAACTCTGTCTCCCCCCAACCCCCCAAGGAAGTAAGTGGAAAACAAACAAGAAGCCAAGCTGCAATGTTTGTTTCTAAATATTTTTGTATTGTGTACATTCTGTATATTTTTGTTGTAACATATTATTTGACCACAGATTCCATTAAAGATTTGTTTTTTTTAAGCCATCCGTTATTCCGAAAGTGGCCTGAAGGGGCTGGCCTGTTTCATCTTGGCCTGGGTCATGGAGTGTGGCCAAGGGGAGGGGAAGAGGGAGGGCAGCCATGGTGGTGGGTCTGTGATTTATATACTACAGATGGGAGGTTTGTGGGTGTGTGTTTTTTAATATATCTTATTGATTTTTTACAGAGAGGAAGGGAGAAGAGAGAGAGAAGCATCAATGATGAGAGAGAATCATTGATTGGCTGCCTCCTGCGCACCCCACACTGGGGATGTGCCCGCAACCAAGGTACATGCCCCTGACCGGAATCGAATCTGGGACCTTTCAGTCTGCAGACCGACGCTCTATCCACTGAGCAAAACCGGTTTCTGCTGTGATTTTTTTTTTTAATATATTGATTTTTTACAGAGAGGAAGGGAGAGGGGAGAGAGAGAGTCACAAACATCAATGAGAGAGAAACATCAATCAGCTGCCTCCTGCATGCCCCCTACCGGGGATGTGCCTACAACCAAGGTACATGCCCTTGACCAGAATCGAACCCGGGACCCTTGAGACCACAGATGGACACTCTGTCCACTGAGCTAAATCGGCTAGGGCTGGGGGTTGTTTCTTGGTGCTAGGGTTTCTGGCTTGGTGGTTCTTAACCTTTCTTGAATTACTGAACTCTTTTTTTTTTTAAATATATTTTATTGATTTTTTACAGAGAGGAAGAGAGAGGGATAGAGAGTTAGAAACATTGATGAGAGAGAATCATCTATCAGCAGCCTCTTGCACACCCCCTACTGGGTTCAGGGTGTTGACAATCCTCAGAAAGACTAAGCTCCTAGGGAAAGAAGGAAATGCCTAAGAAATTTCAAAGAAGATTCTTTGAAATCTTTGAAATATACTGGGGATGTGCCCACAACCAAGGTATGTGCCCTTGACCGGAATCAAACCCAGGACCCTTCAGTCCGCAGGCTGATGCTCTATCCACTGAGCCAAATCGGTTTCGGCTGCTGAACTCTTTTTTTTGAGCAGTAGATGAAAGCTATGATTTTTCTTTCTATGAAAATAGCACAGCCGAGACCGGTTCGGCTCAGTGGATAGAGCGTCAGCCTGCGGACTGAAAGGTCCCAGGTTCGATTCCGGTCAAGAGCATGTATCTTGATTGTGGGCACATCCCCAGTAGGGGGTGTGCAAAAGGCAGCTGATTAGTGACTCATTGATGTTTCTAACTCTCTATCCCTCTCTCTTCCTCTCTGTAAAAAATCAATAATATATATATATATATATATATATATATATATATATATATATATATTTTTTTTTTTTTTTTAAATAGCACAGAAAGACCATTTTTAAAAACATTTTTTAATTTGTTTCAGAGAGAGGAAGGGAGAGGGAGAGAGAGATAGAAACAGCAATGATGAGAATCATTGATCAGCTGCCTCCTGCCTGTGCCCCACTGGGGATGGAGCCTGACAGGGGAATGGAACTGTGACCTACTGGTTCATAGGGTGAAAAGCTCAACCATGATCCACACTGGTCGGGCCACAGATA